GTATATAGGTTATATCCAGTATAATAAATAAATTCCCTTACATGAAGAATTGTCTATCGGAAATCTAGGTTAATAACAATGAATTAAATATAAACTTAAGTTTTCTTATCGTAACATAATGAGGTAATACCTCAATCAAAAGAATTTTTTACTATTTCAAGATCGAGTGCAATGGGTCCTCTTACAGTTATGTTAATGTAGAACATACACTACCCAAATTTGGGCATTATTTGTAACTGCTTTTTGCTATAGCTTAAAAATATTCAATGAAATTGAATTTTTTTTTCCCAATTTTTAAAGCAATTTTTAATTAATTACAAGATAATAATTTTAAAATTGAAAGAAAAAAATCCTTAAAAATTGCGCATATGCGGGGTAAAAAATAAAACGAAAACTTTTTTTTTTCTTCAGAATTTTGTCGTGAATTGTATTTTACAACTTGTGAAAGAAAAACCGTTTTGAATATCTTCAAAAAATTATACTGCAAAATCAGGAAGGAAAAAAAACTTTCTTTTTCTGCGCCGGTGGGAAAGAACTACTTTAAAAAGTATGTATTTCTCAATTTAAAACAATATTTTTTTTTTCTTTCAAATTTTAAAATGCTTGTTTTTTATGCTTGTTGCTATTTAAAAATTGCTCCTAAAACTTTCATTTTATTGAATATTTTTGATGTTTTAGAAGAAAAAAAACGTAGGTTATGTATATATATATATATATACATATATATACACACACAGTCCAGTCACATTAATGTGACCACCACCAACTTTCGACGTCACCGTGAAATAAACAATTAGAGAAGGCAGGGGGCAGCACATTACAGTGGAGTGTATATAAAGGATGTCCCATTTCAATCGTTGACGTAATGCAAAAACGTAGAGATTTATCCGACGTCCAAAAGGGCATGATTATTGGCTTTCGGGCCAAGGGGGGAAGCATTTCGGAAACGGCCAATTTTGTGAACTGTTCGCGTGCCGCCGTCGTAAAAGTATACCGTGCATGGCAAAATGGTACTGTCCAAAATCAGCTGCGTGGCACATGTGGTCCACCACGGGCTATAGATGACAGAGGTGAACGAAGGCTACGGAGATGCTCTCGTGCAAATAGACATGGAACTATTGAGCAACTGACAGCCCAGATGAACCAAGGGGCTACCAAGAGTGTATCCTCAACAACGGTTCAGTGAACGTTGCTGTGCATGGGACTCCGGAGCAGATGCCTGGTTAATGCTTTTGACAGGTGGTCCCATTAATGTGACTGGACTGTGTATATATATAAATAAATGTACATATTTTAATAAATATGTAAGCTAAGCCTACGAAATTTTATGCAATTCTTACAATTAATAAAAAAGTGTCCAATAAGTTGATTGTTACATTTTCTGGCTTAAGATGTTATATATAATACTTGTTTTCATTATATAATAATACTCTGGAAAGTTATAAAATAATCCTCTAGGTACTTTTCGAGAAATTCAAAAACTGTCTTATCTATTATTGCACGCTATTTAAATTTCTTAGTATTATTTCATAGCTGTTTTATTTGTTATAAAGTGCTTCCATGAATACAACTGTTCCATTTATATTTTAGAAACATTCAAAAAAATAAATTCGTAAACATTACTCTTCGCTAGTTTTAAAATTTTTGTCAAAAGTTTAATGTTTGATTGAGAAGGTGATGAAAATTCATAAAAAAAATTATCCTGATTTATCACAGCAAAATTAAATAATTCAAATGCAATTTTATAATTGCAAGTGAAAAATGATATCGAACGAAAAGCGAACACTTTAAAAATGTGTTAAAAAGGAATTGCTTATAAATATTTTTATGCTACATTTTCTATAATGGATGGTTTGTCAATCTTTAATAATTATCTTTTCTAAAATGTTACTTTAAGACTACCTATCTGTAGATTTTCTTAGATTGTCAAGAATTCTAAAAAATAAAAAAAGGCGATCTCGCAATTATGGAACAACCTATGTACAATTAAATTGTGTAATAAATTAATATTAAAAAAAATGAGTGACGAAAAGAATGCTGTTCCTAGTCCTGTTTAGTTCCCAGCATGTGACTGCATTAAATCAAAATTTACTAATTTTGCTGTAAATATTCAATTAATAATAAACAAAATAAAAAAATGTCTAGAGAAATTCCATATTTAATTTACTTTATGTTTCATAAAATGGTGTGAGCAAAGATGATAAAAAATATTACAAAATAACTCTAGAATGTGGATTTTTTAATTACAATAAATAAGTTTTTACAAATAATAATCAGACTGAAAAAAAAATGCCGTCTTTAGAAATACCCAATTTAATCTACTTCTAGTTTTATAAAATAATTAGGAGGCTCCGCCCCCTGCTCGCTAACGCCCGCCAACCCCCGAGAATTACTACGCAATCGTATGTGGTTCACGCCGTGAACCATGGCTCGCTGCGCTCGCTCGCCAATGAACACAATGTTCTAGCACAAAGACATAGTATATTATCATCAAAGACATAGTATTTTATCATCAAAGACATAGTATTGTACTTATGTAGAAGAATTCTATCAATGTTCTTATTGGCTTTTAAAAAAGTATATTAGCTATTTAGATTGTACATGGTGAAAAAATCAAAACATTAGCTAAATGAGAAACATATTAGCAAAATAAATTATCAAATATTGCAGTTACTCACCTAAATTCAACTAAATGTGTATAATAAATTAGTTAATGCTAGAAATTCTGAAAGTTTTAGAAAAAAATTTTATTATTTAAAAATATAAACTTTAAACCCTAACTTTTCCTTGTGAGATAATAACCCTCAAAAAGTCTTTCATTTTCAAGAACACAAAAATTTGTTTTATCGCCAAATGAAATATTTTTTGGTGATCAGCATTATTGAAATCAATTTCTATATTAATTAACATTTGTGATAAAGTACATAACATTTTAGAACAAAATAAGGATGTTTTACATACAATGAATTAAAATGCATGGCTGTTAGCATTACCCGAGAAATACCACGTGGAGGTCGCTAATCGGGGAGTTTTGATTTTGGCAGTTCCCCGTGCCTACTGCCGATAGAAGTTTCAATTAAATTTTTTCCAAAAAACATTTTTTTCTGCAAAGCTCTAAGAAATTAACACTAAGCATTTAGTATTTCTTTGAAAACACAATTATAGATTTGGCATCTTGGAGCAATTACTGAAAGGCTGTCAAATGACTTAACTCTTGACAGGCTATTAAATCTGTACTCTAAAGATACTTGGATACCCAAATAAATATGACTCAGGAGAAACGAACACAACGTTTATTTCATATGGACAGCACAAGAGGGGGAAAAAAAATAACAAATATGAGAAAGTAAATAATTGGCACAGCGCCATCTATTGATATTAATTTTAAACATAAATTTTAGATATAATTTAACACAGGCCAACATAAAGTTGTCCATGACTAAAAGCTTGTTTAGTCAATACTAAACTGATTTTCTCAAAAGTCTGACCTTGTGACTTATTTATAGAGTTTTTAAAAGCGCTATATGTTGAGGCAGTTTAAATTAAATATTATCATGTTTTTAGGGCATGAATCTGAATTGAACAACCTGATAATGCTCACTCTGGTTATTGTTTCCATTTTTAAAAGCGCTATATGTTGAGCCACCCCATGTGACATTTGCCATGTGACATTTTTAGCAGCAATCATTGGTCGATTTTCTAACGTTGCCATTCGGGGGAGTTGTAATGAGGCTTTTTTTTTGGTGCCGTGTAAGAGAAATATATATATAGATAACATTTAGTAAATAATAAATACTGTTTTTTATAGTCACACTAAAATTCTGTGAAAAAAAGTTCCTTAATTTATGTTTTATGAAATGGTGTAGGCTTAAAAATGTTTTGAAATTAGTGCAGAATATGTGGCGCCAATGAGAGACATCATGACTATGAAAAGAATGTCATGGATTAGCGTTGACTGTAGAGGGAAGTATGCTTTTGGATGATTCTCCTTTAGTACGTGAAAATCCGATCATTAGAAGGAAAAGTTATCTTTTTTTCTTTCTTACTCACTGCACGTAACTAAAATAATTTATGTAAATCAGGTTTTAGTTCAAAATTTTCATATAAAAAATTCCTGTGTTCAAATTTTTAAAATCTCTCAGAAAATCATAAATAATTAATTTAAAGGAGATGAAACCGAAAACAAAATTTGATTCTCGGGCAGATGATTAGATTATTCAGATTCAGACGAAGTTATTCAGGGTGGTATCTGTTTTTTTTTTTTTCCCCTCCTTCCTTCTATTTTTCCTTTGAATAATTTCGGAGACCAAATATTGAAATACTTTATGTAGATTTATGCGTGTATTAAACACTAAAACATAATAAGAAGAGAAGAAAAAAAAAAAATTTTTTTTTAAGAACTTAGCTCAGAATCAGTTCAAAACATTTTTTGTTATAAAATATTGTTTATTTTAATTCAGAACTCTCTTCTTAAATTAATTTTAAAAAAATCTTTTAACTATCCTTGATGAATTGATTGCCTTTTAATATTCGAAATTATGATTGAACATAATACATAGCATATTTAATGTCTACGTGACTGAAAAATATTGCAGTTTTTCTATTTAGATGACTATAAAAATCCCTAAAATTCCCTATGTGTAAAACATATATCATGAAGTTTATATTATTTCGTAAAATCTACTGGAGTTTTTCCTATTCATGGTAGCTGTAAAAGGTAATTTCGCGGACACAACTCGAAATGTGAAACTGCGTGAATAGGACTCGAGATGTGTCATTTTAAATTGCGTGAATACGAATCGAGATGTGTCATTTCAAATCGCGTGAATACGACTCGAGATGTGTCATTTCAAATCGCGTGAATACGACTCGAGGTGGGTTATTTAAATCGCGTGAATACGACTCGCGATGTGTAATTTCAAATCGCGTGAATACGACTCGAGGTTTGCAATTATAAATCGCGTGAATACAGTCATAAAAAAGTAGTAAAAGAAACTCACCCAATTTGCAACACGTCTTCATTATCACATGCAAACATATATCCTGAATCGAACTTTATACACTTTTTATATAAACTATTACATATTATTATTATATAAACAACTTTATATAGTTTCATATATCTTCATATATTACTTTAACTTTATATATTACTAATATAACTTTAATTTTAATATATAATTATTATTTATTAAAATCATTATTTAATAAATTATAATTTAATTTTAACATAGCTTTAACTTTATATTTAAGTTAACATCTTTATATATTTCTTAGAATAAATATATTCTATTCTACAAAGTGTGCATTATTTTTTCTACAAATAGTTTTTAACCGCTTTAAATAGAAAAGTAAAAACATGTCATAAATGCTGCTGGATTTTGCCAGTTTCTCCTGGTTTAATTAAAATTCTCTCCTGGTTTTTGTACATTTCAGAATATTGCCTGAAATTGAATAAGTTTAATAAAAAAAATCCCTATAGAAATAGATTATTGCTTGCTTGAATATTTAAACAAGTATTACATAACGAACTCTCATTTATAGAAATCGGTTCAAAACTTTTGTTCTAAAATGTTTATTTTTTATTCAAAACTATCTTTTTAAATTAATCCTTGATGAAATTAAATGCCTTTTAATATTCGAAATTATGAGTAAACTTAATACATAAGATTTCAAGTATGTTTAATGCATATCATAACTGGAGAATATTACAGCTTTGATGACTCTAAAAATCCCTATGTGTAAAATATAATTTTACACATAGGTAATAATAATTATAAATTATAATTTTATTTTAATATAACTTTAACATTATATTTAACTTAATATCTTTATATAATATTAACTTTATATTTATATAAATCCAGAACGATATATAAATCTATATATATATATATATATTATANTATGTTCCTTTTTTGATATATTGCTCTTTTTTATTGTATTGCTTATGCTTATTTAATATATATTCAGTATTTTGATGTATGATTTTTTTAAATTTGTAAATTCACTAATCAATGCTTTATTGGTGTATATCATGTGATTTTCCTGTTATGTGTTTTTTTTGCTTATTATTTTTTATAAGCTAATGATCATATAATTTGTGTTGTTTTAAATTATTTTGTTGAAAGTTTAATTTATTATGCAAGTTTGCATTGTTTTGTGCTCTGCAAAACTGATATAGATGTTTCTTATTGGAAGACTATCTTCATATCTACCTTAATTTCACTGAATTTCATTATTGTCATATTATTTTAGCATTAAAAAAAGGATAAAATGAAGTTAAGTGTTAAGCAGAATTAGTTATCAAGTATAAAAAATAAAAAAAAAGAAGAAAGAAAGAAGAGCCATTGGCGAATAAGGGTTACCGCATTCTTCCATCTCGCCAAACCGGCTTATTTTATAATTTGTTGGAACAGTTTGTCCTTGCAGCGATGATCATTCTGAATTACATTATGACGTGAAATGATGAGTCTATAAATGCTGTCGAAAATAGCTAAATCGAAGATGATTCGTAATATCGGGGGTAACTTGGAACATCTCTTAACACAAAATAAACACTTTTTATTCAGGAATAGGGCAAATGAAATTTATAGCATTTCGTGATTTGCTTTAACAAAGTTCTTTTTCAACGTCATGAAAGGAAAGACATTTATTTCCAAAGAAACAGTTTTCACTTCATCACCATCGACTTCTCAATCGCTATATACCAGGGGTTTCCAACTTACATGAGCCCGGGGGCCACAATTAAAAACACAAATCAAATGGCGGGCCGCAACTTTATCAAAATTTTATGTAGGACTCTTTTATATTTGAGGGAACATTAAATATTACTGTCAGATTTTTACCAAGTTGTACAAAACAAAAGTATTGAATTACAAATTCAAATAAGAAATAGATTTTTAAAAATATTTAATTGTTATTAATAATATTTTTAAAAATATTCAATAAATGATAAAAATTCGGGCTACAATAATTTTAACGTGCACCTATGAATTAAACAATTAAGGTGCAACAGACATCTAATTGTTAGGATATAAAACTTCAAAAAGGTTGGTATTAAAACTTAACATAGCAGCACACAAAATATTCAATGAGAAAATTGAGGTTTTCTGCTGCAGCAACCAGAGAACATTTTTATTTACATTTTAAATTTAAAGTTTACAAATATGTGTGTAAATATTTTCGTCTAAATTAGTGGTTTCAAAAAGTTAACAAAAAAATCGACGCACCAAGAAGGAGTTGTCTGATTGAAACGAAAATTGTTGGATAGGAAGACAATGTACAGAATAGTAAATGATTAAAATTTCAGAACAATTGAATAATTTATTGCAGAGTTACAGTAACCAGTTCAATAAGGTGCTGACCCGCCTCTAGCCTGGATACAAGCTGCCACACGGCGTGGCATAGACCGGTCTCTTGCGGTATTTCTTGCCAAATTCGCTCCAATTGTCGAACGAGGTCATCAACATTCCGTGCCAGATGCCTTCCCATCATATCCCAGACATGCTCGATGGGAGAGAGATCTGGTGATCTGGCAGGCCAAGCATGAGAGTCACCATCACCTCTAATTTA